AATTATTCTGCACTATAGCCTATTTATTGCCTTACCTCCATAACTTGCTACATTTGCACACACTGTATATATATTTTCTGTTGTATTTCTGACTTTATGTTTTTTACCCCATATGTAACTCTGTGTTGTTGTTTTATTGCACTACTATGCTTTATCTTGGCCAGGTCGCAGTTGTAAATGAGAACATGTTCTCAACTGGCTTACCTGGTTAAATAAAGGTGAAATAAAATAAAAAATAAAAAAAATTGTTTCAGCCAAGCGTGTTGGAGAATTACATGCACTTTCTACCCATCCTTCATGCCTCACTTTGGCAGTGCTTCGGCAAATTCCAGCATTCTTACCTATGGTGCTTTCATTATCACATGCTAACCAGCCCTTAATCATAGCGCAATTTACATTTGACATTTTAGTCATTTAGCAGACGCTCTTATCCAGAGCGACTTACAGTTAGTGAGTGCATACATTTTCATACTGGGTAATTTCACCCGCCTCCCCACTCCTCACAGGAGAGTCGTGACTTGCATACACTTTGCTCGGTCTTTCTGCAACAAGAACTGTTCGTCAAACAGAAACGTTTTTTGTGTGTTATGAGGAGAACACCAAAGGGCGCGCTGTCTCGAAGCAGAGACTGGCACATTGGATTACCAATGCAGTGTCAAAATCATATGCTGCAGCATGGAGACCAACTCCAGATGGTGTAGTAGAACACTTAATGGACCTCCCTGGACTCTGTCTGTGCTGCTGCAAGTTGGGCAACACCCATGACTTTCATGAGGTACTACAGAGTCAATGTTATGTCCACACCATCAGTGGGGCCTGTGGTTCTGGACACGGCACACTCTCTCAACCCAGAAAATTGAGTGTACCGTAAAACCTTGTGCATAGTTACTTATCAGTGAGATGGATGTTCTATACAGAGGCCTTCCACTGCTGTTGCACCCAATTGAAGCCTCATGTTGTAAGTTCTAGCTTTTAGCTTGCTTGTGTATGCGGTTGTATACCATTGTTGAAATTCTGTGTTACCCTGTTGGGTAACCATGTAGGATGTCCCAGGGACTCATCTGGACTAAGTTAAATGGTGAGTTATCCCACTGTGTTGTCCACACAACCTCTTTGGTACAGCATTTCCAATAGGTCGTTTGGCGACCCGTTATGAAAACAAAAGAGAACGTTGGGTTACAGATGTAACCTTGGTTCTCTTAGTACAGTAATGGGTAGCCAAGCTTTCATGTCATTCCTCCACCTCCGTGGGGTTCGAGTGAAGTAATAGACAATATGTCACACCACACTGCCTTTTATAGTGACAGGTGGCGTGACTGTAAACATCTTTGATATGAAGCATCTCAATCACATCGCGTGAAGGGGAAGGAGTTCATGCTACGGAAAGGAAAGCGAATGATGGTTTTGGAAAACAGCTTGGAGAATAAACAATGCTCCTATGATGGTTCTAATGATGAACTTAGCCTTTAGATGCTTTTGGGAAACCGGGCCCAGATGGCTAGTAGTAGATGGCTATCGCTAAGTGAAACACAAGAAATCAATGCCAAGTTCGGCCATTAATAAATATTAACAATCCACACAAGCGGAATGATTTGAACACCAGAACGTAGCTAGTTAGCTAGCATGTATTCATCGGTACTTTAAAGTATCCTTTACAGTAGCGTTTACAGTACAGCCTATAAAGTTTCATTCATTCTCTCTCATAATCGGTTGTCAGTAGTTATCACAGCCACAAAGTCAAAATTGCATATAAAAATGTATGAAAACTAAAATTAGCTTTTTGGTCTTAATTTAAAGCTGCAATGTGTAACATTTTAGTCCACCTGATCAAATTCACATAGAATTGTGAGTTATAGCTCTGTCATTGTCATTGAAAGCAAGTCTAAGAAGCAGTAGACATGTTCTATGTGAGCTATTTCTATGCTTCCCTTGCTTAAGTTTAGCAAGCATGTTTTACTTTCGGTTTTGTACACCAGCTACAAACAGCTGAAATTACAATATTTTTGGTTATTGAAAAGATATTACACAGTGGTTTAGATGGTACAATGATTCTCCACAAATCACAATCAGAAATTAGGCGAGCTATTATAATTTTTGCAACCAGGAAATGCTGGAGCAATTTCTGCATATTGCACCTTTAAGGTTAAGCATAGGGTTAGCAGTGTGGTTAGGGTTAAACTCTGATTTTAAGAAGATACATTGTAGAAATAGGCTGTGGTAACTAGTGACGACCCTCATTTGTCTATTGCTTGCCAACACAGGATGTTTTGGGTCGTCACTAGTTACCACAGCCACAAATAGCTAAACCCCGCCTATTTCTACAATTTCAAATCAAAATCATTTATTTGTCACATGCTTTGTAAACAGATGTAGACTAACAGTGAAATGCTTACTTACAGGCCTTTCCCAACAATGCAAAAATAAAAGAAAAATAGAACAATAACGTGAGGAATAAATACACAATGAGTAACGATACCTTGGCTAACTTCTCTTCTTAAAATCTGATTTTAAACATAACCTGATAACTTTATGCCTAACACTAACCTTAACACCCCATTTTTTCCCCCATTAATTTTTACGATATAGCCAATTTTGACTTGTGTCTGTAGTAACTAGTGACTACCGATGTTTTGGACAGGCAGACCGTTCTTATTATACAGTTGAAGTCGGAAGTTTACATACACTTATGTTGGAGTTATTAAAACTAGTTTTTCAACCACTCCACAAATTTCTTGTTAACAAACTATAGTTTTGGCAACTCGGTTAGGACATCTACTTTGTGCATGACACACGTAATTGTTCCAACAATTCTTTACAGACAGATTATTTCACTTATAATTCACTGTATCGCAATTCCAGTGGGTCAGAGGTTTACATACACTACGTTGACTATGCCTTTAAACAGCTTGGAAAATTCCAGAAAATGATGTCATGGCTTTAGAAGCTTCTGATAGGCTAATTGACATCATTTGAGTCAATTGGAGGTGTACCTGTGGATGTATTTCAAGGCCTACCTTCAAACTCAGTGCCTCTTTGCTTGACATCATGGGAAAATCAAAAGAAATTAGCCAAGACCTCAGAGAATAAAATGTAGACCTCCACAAGTCTGGGTCATCCTTGGGAGCAATTTCCAAACGCCTGAAGGTACCACGTTTATCTGTACAAACAATACTACGCAAGTATAAACCCCATGGGACCATGCAGCCGTCATACCGCTCAGGAAGGAGACGCGCTCTGTCTCCTAGTGATGAACGTACTTTGGTGCGAAAAGTGCAAATCAATCCCAGAACAACAGCAAAGGACCTTGTGAAGATGCTGGAGGAAACAGGTACAAAAGTATCAATATCCACAGTAAAACGAGTCCTATATCGACATAACCTGAAAGGACGCTCAGCAAGAAAGAAGCCACTGCTCCAAAACCGCCATAAAAAAGCCAGACTACGGTTTGCAACTGCACATGGGGACAAAGATTGTACTTTTTGGAGAAATGTCCTCTGGTCTGATGAAACAAAAATAGAACTGTTTGGACATAATGACCATCGTTATGTTTGGAGGAAAAAGGGGGTTGCTTGCAAGCCGAAGAATGCCATCCCAACCGTGAAACACGGGGGTGGCAGCATCATGCTGTGGGGGTGCTTTGCTGCAGGAGGGACTGGTGCACTTCACAAAATAGATGGCATCATGAGGAAGGAAAATTATGTGGATATATTGAAGCAACATCTCAAGACATCAGTCAGGAAGTTAAAGCTTGGTCGCAAATGGGTCTTCCAAATGGACAATGACCCCAAGCATACTTCCACAGTTGTGGCAAAATGACTTAAGGACAACAAAGTCAAGGTATTGGAGTGGCCATCACAAAGCCCTGACCTCAATACTATAGAAAATTTGTGGGCAGAACTGAAAAAGCGTGTGCGAGCAAGGAGGCCTACAAACCTGACTCAGTTACACCAGCTCTGTCAGGAGGAATGGGTCAAAATTCACCCAGCTTATTGTGGGAAGCTTGTGGAAGGCTACCCGAAACGTTTGACCCAAGTTAAACAATTTAAAGGCAATGCTACCAAATACTAATTGAGTGTATGTAAACTTCTGACCCACTGGGAATGTGATGAAATAAATAAAAGCTGAAATAAATCATTCTCTCTACTATTATTCGGACATTTCACATTCTTAAAATAAAGTGGTGATCCTAACTGACCTAAGACAGGGACTTTTTACTAGGATAAAATGTCAGGAATTGTGAAAAACTGAGTTTAAATGTATTTGGCTAAGGTGTATGTAAACTTCCGACTTCAACTGTACCTCAGTCAGGCAGACACTGCATCTTTGGTTGTCAAAAAAAAGTAATACATTCGCTTGTGCATAGCTCCTGCCACCTGCTGTTGTTACCTAATCCTGGATAAATTACAAGCTATGTGTGAAATTCAGGGGTGATGTGAGGTAATTTGACTTTCATTTCATTCTCACCTCCACTTTATCAGAATTATTTATGAATACAAATGACTGGAGAGTAGGCTTAGCCTATTTATTTTAGGAAACAATGGCCACCCCAACCCTTAATACAACACTGCTAAAATGAGTAAATAAAGCAGACAAATATAGCCAAAGGTTTATCTTGTTTATTCAAATGCAAAACGTTTAAACCATACATATTTTTTTATTATTACCAGATTTTGAAATGTTAAGTATAAAAAGGCAATTATATTCTCTATAAATGTTTATTCACATAATGTGTTTTTAATCCATAGAGGTAAAAGTGAAGAAAGTCATGAGTTGATTTTCTCTGCTAAAATTAACAGTTCATTTTCACTCACTGGGGAAATGAATCAAGTCCATAAAGGTTGTTGCAAAACTTTGAGTATCCTAAGATCTCTACAATTGTTTTACTCCAAAAATATCCTAGTACATGACAGTATAAATCACATTGTTGAGCTGGATTACTTTCACATCAGATAACTTGACATGACACCTTGTCAATCACTGTGCTTCAAACATCTTGATTCTCAGTAGCTGGTGTTTTCAATGGTGATCTGTTGAGCCGTCTCAATCTTGAAGTCTTTGATACCTAATAGAGAAACCAATCATCGTTTGATCTTTAGTCACAGTAGGAGGGAAATCAATGTTTGGATCAAAGCAGCTAAGACATGAATTCTATTGTTGAGCAATAACTAGTAACGACATAGGAAAGTTGTGTATTTTGCATGTGCAGTTGTGTATATGTTGCCTATGCCATATAACCATCTGTTCTTACCCTGGCTGAGAGCGTTGCCGTCTGAGGAGAGGCGCCAGTATCTGCGGTCGGTCTGTCGAGCCCGTTCCCCATTCACCACGCTCAGGAAGGGTCCCCACAGGCTGGTCTCCTTCTCAAACCTGCAGTGTAGGCAGAGGACGGAGCAAGGAGGAGAGTTCATAATGTTAAACTTATGATATGACACTAAGCTTTTCATCACCACACTGGGAAGTTCTACAAAGTTTGAGTTGTAGCAATGTAAATGAGACAAATTAGCTCTCCAAAAAGTATCAATTTGGAACTTGATTAACATATCAACCAAAATAACTATAAAAGTGCCCCATTAACTCACGTGAAGCCAATGTTCTTCTTTTGAAGGAGTTCAAGGGCATAAACCAACGAGGTGCCCGTTGGCACGTTAACAGAATAGACATCAGGAGCCCCATGTGATTTGATCACCTCAAACTTCAGGGCTACTTTGGTATGGCTCTGTAACACCATCACGGGCTCACTGGCCTCCAGGACCAGGCTGTCTGTAGAGGAAAACCCAACAAAGCAGAGGCAGTAAGAATGAGGAAGATCACACCTCAAAAACAGATTGACCACTGTTGGGTTAGATGATAATGCAGCACTTGCCATCCTCATTGCGACACTGCTTGCCCTTGACTTGCAGATAGGTATTTTGCTGGAGGGCAGGCAGAGTTTGGGACATGGCCATGGGGTTGAGATATGTTCCCTTCCTCACATCTGACCTTATGGCCTCCATTGAGGTAGCACACTCCTGCACCTGGCTGCCCATAGCCAGCAGGGCCTGGGACACAGGGACACACCATGTTATTCCCATGGGAAATGGTTATATTGCTCCACTCAGACATATATGGAAATGCTGCACAGGTTAATATACAGTGCCTTAGGAAAGTATTCAGACCCCTTTTACTTTTTCCAAATTTTGTTACGTTACAGCCTTATTCTAAAATGGCTTAAATAAATAAAAATCCTCAGCAATCTACATACAATACCCCATAATGACAAAGCGAAAAACAGGTTTTTAGAAATCTTTGCAAATGTATTAAAAACAAAAAACGCATATTATTATTATTATTATTATTATTAAAAAACAGAAATACCTTATTTGCATAAGTATTCAGACCCTTTGCTATGAGACTTGAAATTGAGCTCAGGTGCCTCCTGTTTCCACTGATCATCCTTGAGATGTTTCTACAACAACTTGATTGGAGTCCACCTGTGATAAGTTCAATTGATTGGACATGATTTGGAAAGGCACACAACTGTCTATAAAAGGTCCCACAGTTGACAGTGCATGTCACAGCAAAAACCAAGCCATGAGGTGGAAGGAATTGTCCGTAGAGCTCCGAGACAGGATTGTGTCGAGGCACAGATCTGGGGAAGGGTACCAAAAAATGTCTGAAGGTCCCCAAGAACACAGTGCCCTCCATCATTCTTAAATGGAAAAAGTTTGGAACCACCAAGACTCTTCCCAGAGCTGGCCGGCCGGCCAGCCAAACTAAGCAATCCGGGGGAGAAGAGCCTTGGTCAGGGAGGTGACCAAGAACCCGATGGTCACTCTGACAGAGCTCCAGAGTTCCTCTGGGGAGATGGGAGAACCTTCCAGAAGGACAAGCATCTCTGCAGCACTCCACCAATCAGGCCTTTATGGTAGAGTGGCCAGACGGAAGCCACTCCTTGGAGTTTGCCAAAAGGCACCTAAAGGACTCTCAGACCATGAGAAACAAGATTCTCTGGTCTGATGAAACCAAGATTGAACTCTTTGGCCTGAATGCCAAGCGTCACATCTGGAGGAAACCTGGCACCATCCCTACGGTGAAGCATGGTGGCAGCATCATGCTGTGGGGATGTTTTTCAGCGGCAGGGACTGGGAGACTAGTCAAGATCGAGCCAAAGATTAAGTACAGATAGATCCTTGATGAAAACCTGCTCCAGAGCAGGACCTCAGACTGGAGCGAAGGTTCACCTTCCAACAGGACAACGACTCTAAGCACACAGCCAAGACAACACAGGAGTGGCTTCGGGATAAGTCTCTGAATGTCCTTGAGTGGCCCAGCCAGAGCCCGGACTTGAACCCGATCGAACATCTCTGGAGAGACCTGAAAATAGCTGTGCTGCAACGCTGCCCATCCAACCTGACAAAGCTTGAGAGGATCTGCAGAGAAGAATGGGAGAAACTCCCCAAATACAGGTGTGCCAAGCTTGTAGCGCCATACCCAAGAAGACTCGAGGCTGTAGTCGCTGCCAAAGGTGCTTCAACAAAGTACTGCAGAAATGGTCTGAATACTTACAGTCAAAGGTTTGGACACACCTACCCCATTCAAGGGTTTTTCTTAATTTTTTACTATTTTCTACATTGTAGAATAATAGTGAAGACATCAAAACTATGAAATAACACATATGGAATCATGTAGTAACCAAAACAAGTGTTAAACAAATCAAAAATATATTTTAGATTCTTCAAAGTAGCCACCCTTTGCCTTGATGACAGCTTTGCACACTCTTTGCATTCTCTCAACCAGCTTCACCTGGAATGCTTTTTAACAGTCCTTCACTCTGCGGTCCAACTCATCCCAAACCATCTCAATTGGGTTGAGGTCGGGTGATTGTGGAGGCCAGGTCACCTGATGCAGCACTCCATCACTCTCCTTTGTCAAATAGCCCTTACACAGCCTGGAGGTGTGTTGGGTTCATTGTCCTGTTGAAAAACAAATGATAGTGGGACTAAGCGCAAACCAGATGGGATGGCGTATCGCTGCAGAATGCTGTGGTAGCCATGCTGGTTAAGTGTGCCTTGAATTCTAAATAAATCACTGACAGTGTCACCAGCAAAGCGTCCCAACACCATCACGCCTCCATGCTTCACGGTGGGAACCACACATGCGGAGATAATTTGTTCACCTACTCTGTGTCTCACAAAGACAAGGCGGTTGGAACAAAAAAAATCTCAAATTTGGACTCCAGACCAAAGGACAGATTTCCACTGGTCTAATGTCCATTGCTTGTGTTTCTTGGCCCAAGCAAGTCTCTTCTTATTGGTGTCCTTTAGTATTTGACTTAACATTCCATGATGGTACACTAAGGCATTGTTGGCAGAATAGATGGATGCAGTTCAATGCATGATAATATATAATATAATTCACCAATACATTTCTTGGTAGTCCAGAAATATTGCTATCAGGTTGTAAATCACATTTGGCCTGGTACATTGTTTTCTGCTTCCATTCGGGATGCACTGTTTCAGTTTCAATGACTCAATATTTTGTACAACAACGGACAAATGTATCCAAGTCTGGGAATGCCAATACAATCAAACTAGCAAGGGCAATGATCACAAGTCAGTCATAACGTGGCTAATAGCCTAGCATATCTATTTATGTAGCAAGTAAAAAACACGGCGCCTAACGTTAGCTAGCTGCTAGGAGCATGTCATGTATTTGGAGGAGTGGGTGAGTGACTGACTTTTTCCCCTCATATTGTTTTTCGGTGGCTATACACAGCTAGAGATACAGGTGTCATTTGGTTAGCTAGCAAGAACTTGAACGACTGTTAAAGCCAATTTATGCTTGATCCGAAAATGTGATCGGAGGATCCGTATGCAGGGTGTGACGCAATTGCGGCGCCTCCGGAGGAGTGCAGAGGCCAAATTGATGGGTTTGATCAATAGGACTGTAAAGTTCCCAAATGTAAGAGGACTCCCGTGGTATTAACATATTTGCAGAAATCCATTCAGGTGTATCTTGTGGCCTTTTGGCGAATGCGTTCTAATGATCCAAAGTCGTGCTGTTGCAACTACCTGTGAACACACAGTCCAGTTCAAAGTTAATGATGGCAGGCCTGTGTGGCAAATGGCATGTTTGCATAAAGGCCTACTGTAGCTCTGATTGGCTATGGTGCACCGGTCTACGTAGATTCCCGTCCTGGATGAGACAGATGTTTTATTTACTGCGGTGTCTATTAATTGTCCAAACTTACGGCCGCTTTCCCACTCTATATTGCTATAGAATTTTCACAAATGCCTTAGTATATGTAATTCCCAAACATTCTAAGAATTTATGAAAATGTGAAAATGACCATATCTAAGTGCTTGCTTGTCAGAAAATGTTTTAAAAAAAGTGTAATTCTTCCTGGGGGTGTATATGTACAGATGTTAATGAGATGCGGGTTCGTTTCCCACGGGGGGCCAGTATGAAAAAAAAAACATGTATTCATTCACTAACTGTAAGTCACTCTGGATACGAGCGTCTGCTAAATGACTAAAATGTAAATGTAGTGGTTTCTTTGCAGCAATTCGACCAAGGCCTGATTCACGCAGTCTCCTCTGAACAGTTGATGTTGAGATGTGTCTGTTACTTTTTTTGTGTCTGTTACTGCAATTTCTGAGTCTGGTAACTCTAATGAACTTATCCTCTGCAGCAGAGGTAACTCTGGGTCTTCCTTTCCTGTGGCGGTCCTCATGAGAGCCAGTTTCATCATAGCTCTTGATGGTTTTTGTGACTGCACCTGAAGAAACTTTCAAAGTTCTTGAAATGTTCCGTATTGACTGACCTTCATGTCTTAAAGTAATGATGGACTGTCGTTTCTCTTTGCTTATTTGAGCTGTTCTTGCCATAATATGGACTTGGTCTTTTACCAAATAGGGCCATCTTCTGTATACCTTGTCACAACACAACTGATTGGCTCCACAAATTAACTTTTAAACAAGGCACACCTGTTAATTGAAATGCATTCCAAGTGACTACCTCATGAAGCTGGTTGAGAGAATGCCAAGAGTGTGCAAAGCTGTCATCAAGGCAAAGGTTGGCTACTTTGAAGAATCTCAAATATAAAATATATTTTGATTTGTTCAACACTTTTTGGGTTACTACATGATTCCATGTGTTATTTCATAGTTTTGATTTCTTCACTTTTCTACAATGTAGAAAATAGTAAAAATAAAGAAAAACCCTTGAATGAGTAGGTGTGTCCAAACTTTTGAATGGTACTGTATGTAAATGTAATATTTCTGGGTTTTTTAAAATGATAAATTAGCAAACATTTCTAAAAACCTGTTTTTGCTTTGCCATTATGGGGTATTGTGTGTAAATTCATGAGGGGAAAAAAAACAAACAATTTTATCAATTTTAGAATAAGGTTGTAATGTAACGAAATGTGGAAAAAGTCAAGGGGTCTGAATACTTTCCGAAGGCACTGTAGGCCTAGAGAGGGGAAATGACCCAATCCTTACCTGCACTGCCAGGCCTGTGCTGAACTCATTGCCCATGTGACCATCATCCCGCTGGGAGTCCAGTAGCTTCTGCTTGATGACGCCCAGGGCCTTGTCCAGAGCCGCATCCTGCACCTGAGTGTCATACTCCTTCAGGCACTGCAGGGCCATCCCAGCCATGGCAAACGTGTCTAAAGAAAGACAGAGGGGATGAAGCAAGGGTATAGCATCATCTCCCTGAAATCACCTATAGAGAATCTGATTGGAGGGAGCCAGTGTGAGTGAATACGTTTTATAGGAAAACAGAATCGGAGTTGGGAGATGCTCCTGGATTTCCTTGGTCATACTTACCGATGCAATCGGAGTCTCCATGTTTGATATGTCCATGCTCTACAGCCCCGATGAGCTTGTTGCTGACGTGAGAATTGACTCTAACTCCACTCACACACAGTGCCAGCACGCCTAGAGAGTACTGGTAGTAATTTGTCAGAGGACGGTGGCTGACTTCAAGAGAGAAAGACGGACACAAATACATATCAGACAAAATAATTAACTAGTAACAGCGACTGGGAAAACAAATAAAGTATGACGGGCAAATTTTATAGAGCATTAACAAAGATGGTAAGGGTCAGATGGTGGAATGAGGAGGCGTACAGGCGATGTGCTCTTTCTCCAGTGCCATCTGTCTCTTGAGATGAGTCAGCAGGGTCTCGCTCCTCTGGTTGACGGTGAAGGTTAGGGTGTTGAGATCGTAGCAGGAGGCCTTCAGGGCCAGAGTGTACAGGGCCAGGCGACCCACCACTGGCTGGCTGTTAGCCAGAGAGCTGAGAGCAGAGGATACAGGGTAAGGGGGAGATACAGAAGAGTTGTGATGGGTAAAGATACTTCAATATAATCTCAGAAGTATCAATCGTAATTCCAGAAATTGGATACAAATGCACTGCAGGTAGTTTTGAAGGCATTGACTACATAAAAGGATGTTTGCACAACTAGGTCATTATCAAGCATGACATTCACAATGACATCTAGAAATGTGCAATAAAAGGGCTTTATAAACATGGTCTTTTACCTCTCAATGTCATTGTGGAAATCTGTTTTGAGTGCATTCAGGTGATCACTCTCCTTGCCAAGGTTGTGGTGAGTGGACAGACGCAGGGCCAGGTGCACACTCGGATTGGGGGATGTTTCCTGGTCCTCCAGAGTACGTAGCAGCTTCTTATTGAGTGAGAGGAGCAGCTCACTATGTTCCGATCCTACAGGATCTGGACACAATGTGGGTTGAAAACTGATGCAACAAGAATAGTACATTATAGCAAAACCTACAGTAAGATTCCAAAAGATGTGCTGTGTGCTCACTGAGACTATATACAGTGGGGAGAACAAGTATTTGATACACTGCCGATTTTGCAGGTTTTCTTACTTACAAAGCATGTAGAGGTCTGTCATTTTTATCATAGGTACACTTCAACTGTGAGAGACGGAATCTAAAACAAAAATCCAGAAAATCACATTGTATGATTTTTAAGTAAATAATTTGCATTTTATTGCATGACATAAGTATTTGATCACCTACCAACCAGTAAGAATTCCAGCTCTCACAGACCTGTTAGTTTTTCTTTAAGAAGCCCTCCTGTTCTCCACTCATTACCTGTATTAACTGCACCTGTTTGAACTCGTTACCTGTATAAAAGACACCTGTCCACACACTCAATCAAACAGACTCCAACCTCTCCACAATGGCCAAGACCAGAGAGCTGTGTAAGGACATCAGGGATAAAAGTGTAGACCTGCACAAGGCTGGGGTGGGCTACAGGACAATAGGCAAGCAGCTTGGTGAGAATGCAACAACTGTTGGCGCAATTATTAGAAAATTGAAGAAGTTCAAGATGACGGTCAATCGACTCGGTCTGGAGCTCCATGCAAGATCTCACCTTGTGGGGCATCAATGATCATGAGGAAGGTGAGGGATCAGCCCAGAACTACACGGCAGGACCTGGTCAATGACATGAAGAGAGCTGGGACCACAGTCTCAAAGAAAACCATTAGTAACACACTACGCCGTCATGGATTAAAATCCTGCAGCGCACGCAAGGTCCCCCTGCTCAAGCCAGCGCATGTCCAGGCCCGTCTGAAGTTTGCCAATGACCATCTGGATGATCCAGAGGAGGAATGGGAGAAGGTCATGTGGTCTGATGAGACAGAAATAGAGCTTTTTGGTCTAAACTCCACTCGCCGTGTTTGGAGGAAGAAGAAGGATGAGTACAACCCCAAGAACACCATCCCAACCGTGAAGCATGGAGGTGGAAACATCATTCTTTGAGGATGCTTTTCTGCAAAGGGGACAGGACGACTGCACCGTATTGAGGGGAGGATGGATGGGGCCATGTATCGCGAGATCTTGGCCAACAACCTCCTTCCCTCAGTAAGATCATTGAAGATGGGTCATGGCTGGGTCTTCCAGCATGACAACGACCCGAAACACACAGCCAGGGCAACAAAGGAGTGGCTCCGTAAGAAGCATCTCAAGGTCCTGGAGTGGCCTAGCCAGTCTCCAGACCTGAACCCAATAGAACATCTTTGGAGGGAGCTGAAAGTCCGTATTGCCCAGCGACAGCCCCGAAACCTGAAAGATCTGGAGAAGGTCTGTATGGAGGAGTGGGCCAAAATCCCTGCTGCAGTGTGTGCAAACTTGGTCAAGACCTACAGGAAACGTATGATCTCTGTAATTGCAAACAAAGGTTTCTGTACCAAATATTAAGTTCTGCTTTTCTGATATATCAAATACTTATGTCATGCAATAAAATGCAAATTAATTACTTAAAAATCATACAATGTGATTTTCTGGATTTTTGTTTTAGATTCCGTCTCTCACAGTTGAATTACAGACCTCTACATGCTTTGTAAGTAGGAAAACCTGCAAAATCGGCAGTGTATCAAATACTTGTTCTCCCCACTGTATAGTATCCTCAAACTCTGTAATCTAGCGGAATTTTCCAGGCGCTGACAATAGTATGGTGGTAGAGAGATGTACTGGTAAAAATGCCTTAGCAATATGAAATCAATTATGTGCATCAAATTACAGAACTTTAATAGAGCAGAGGTGGCACGACACAAGTGAGATTATTTGCATCACAGCAGATTTGTTCAACAATAGGGGCTGTGCATTATCTATTCAGACTCAAACAATTCATTGCAAAATCATTGAAAGTCCTGCAGTGGATGAAGTGGATCAACGTGTACCAACTCTTAGCCCCAACGTTCCTATGCTGTCCCTTGGACAACAGTCACATACATTTACTGACGGAAACAAATACGTCCCGTCTGTCGAATAAAATTCCATCTGAATTTACTCTGCCGATTGTCCGTGTGGTTGCTTCTTATAATAGGACAGAATTACACAAAATATACAAAGGAACATATTAATAAACAGACTTTCCAAACGTGGGTCTGCTGCAGGTACCTGACATAATCACTTCCACTCTGCTTCACATCATTTTACTACAATGTAAAAATGAATGGAATTGACCCTTTGCTAAGCCCCGCCCCAGAATTTTGGGCAACCAATCATTGGGCCCACTCCAATGTATAGCAACTGTCGCTCGCGTTTAAAATCGGGGCTATGACAAAACCAGATTATTTTCTAAAAATAAAATGTTTAAATGGCTAAATAGTGTACCAGGAGTAATTGCTACTGTGATTCCTGAAATGCAGAGCCTGTTGGAATCCGAAATTATACTTTTGTTACATTGTTTGCTAGTTCAGATGGTTAGCTAGCTCTCAGTCTCATTGACCACCAAACGTTGCTAACGCTAGCTAGCTAGCAAACCACTTAATATAACTTGTTTTCTCAAAATATATGTTCGCCTAGTTAAGTTAGCAATGTTATGAATACAACTCCCATCTGCTGTCGACATCAGGATATGATTTGAGAGCACTAGTTAGCTCCAAAAGTTGTTATAGCTTTGACTGCATGCTGACAGTGAATTCAGATCCATTCAGTGGCTAGCTACACTACTAACATCATTTTACCAGGTTCCCGTGAAGCAATTGTAATGACAGTCCACTACAACATACCCAAGAACTTCCTGATTAGCAAGGGGTAGTCGGTGTTTAATTTCATGTGGAATTGGGCTTGTCAAATCAAACTTTATTTTTCACATGCGCCGAATACAACAGGTGTAGACCTTACCGTGAAATGCTTACTTACAGTATCTCACAAAAGTGAGTACACCCCTCACATTTTTGTAAATATTTTAGTATATCTTTTCATGTGACAACACTGAAGAAATGACACTTTGCTACAATGTAAAGTAGTGAGTGTACAGCTTGTATAACAGTGTAAATTTGCTGTCCCCTCAAAATAACTCAACACACAGCCATTAATGTCTAAACCGCTGGCAACAAAAGTGAGTACACCCCTAAGTGAAAATGTCCAAATTGGGCCCAATTAGCCATTTTCCCTCCCCGGTGTCATGTGACTCGTTAGTGTTACAAGGTCCCAGGTGTGAATGGGGAGCAGGTGTGTTAAATTTGGTGTCATCGCTCACACTCCCTCATACTGGTCACTGGAAGTTCAACATGGCACCTCATGACAAAGAACTCTCTGAGGATCTGAAAAAAAGAATTGTTGCTCTACATAAAGATGGCCTGGGCTATAAGAAGATTGCGAAGACCCTGAAACTGAGCTGCAGCACGGTGGCCAAGACCATACAGCGGTTTAACAGGACAGGTTCCACTCAGAACAGGCCTCATCATGGTCGACCAAAGAAGTTGAGTGCACGTGCTCAGCGTCATATCCAGAGGTTGTCTTTGGGAAATAGACGTATGAGTGCTGCCAGCATTGCTGCAGAGGTTGAAGGGATGGGGGGGTCAGCCTGTCAGTGCTCAGACCATACGCCGCACACTGCATCAAATTGGTCTGCATGGCTGTCGTCCCAGAAGGAAGCCTCTTCTAAAGATGATGCACAAGAAAGCCTGCAAACAGTTTGCTGAAAACAAGCAAACTAAGGACATGGATTACTGGAACCATGTCCTGTGGTCTGATGAGACCAAGATAAACTTATTTGGTTCAGATGGTGTCAAGCGTGTGTGGCGGCAACCATGTGACGAGTACAAAGACAAGTGCCTACAGTCAAGCATGGTGGTGGGAGTGTCATGGTCTGGGGCTGCATGAGTGCTGCCGGCACTGGGGAGCTACAGTTCATTGAGGGAACCATGAATGCCAACATGTACTGTGACATACAGAGCATGATCCCCTCCCTTCGGAGCCTGGGCCGCAGGGCAGTATTCCAACATGATAACGACCCCAAACACACCTCCAAGACGACCACTACCTTGCTAAAGAAGCTGAGGGTAAAGGTGATGGACTGGCCAAGCATGTCTCCAGACCTAAACCCTATTGAGCATCTGTGGGGCATCCTCAAACGGAAGGTGGAGGAGTGCAAGGTCTCTAACATCCACCAGCTCCGTGATGTCGTCATGGAGGAGTGGAAGAGGACTCCAGTGGCAACCTGTGAAGCTCTGGTGAACCCCATGCCCAAGAGGGTTAAGGCAGTGCTGGAAAATGATGGTGGCCACACAAAATATTGACACTTTGGGCCCAATTTGGACATTTTCACTTAGGGGACAGCAAATGTACACTGTTATACAAGCTGTACAGCTGTACACTCACTACTTCACGACCTCCTCCCTATAGGCTATCTCTTCGTTGTCGGTGATCAGGCATACCACTGTTGTGTCATCAGCAAACGTAATGATGGTGTTGGAGTCATGCTTGGCCATGCAGTCGTAGGTGAACAGGGCAGTACAGGAGGGGGCCAAGCACGCACCCCTGAGGGGCCCCCAGTGTTGACGATCAGCGTGGCAGACGTGTTGTTGCCTACCCTTACCACCTGGGGGCAGCCCGTCAGGAAGTCCAGGATCCAGTTGCAGAGGGAGGAGTTTAGTCCTAGGGTCCTTATCTTAGTGATGACCTTTGTGGGCACTATGGTGTTGAACGTTGAGCTGTAGTCAATGAACAGCATTCTCACATAGGTGTTCCTTTTGTCCAGGTGGGAAAGGGCAGTGTGAAGTGCGATTGAGATTGCATCATCTGTGGATCTGTTGGGGCGGTATGCGAATTGGAGTGGGCCAAGGCTATCCGGGATGATGCTGTTGATGTGAGCCATGACCAGCCTTTCAAAGCACTTCATGGCTACCGACGTGAGTGCTATGGAGCGGTAATCATTTAGGCAGGTTACCTTCGCTTCCTTGGGCACAGGGACTATGGTGGTCTGCTTGAAACATGTACAGTGAGGGAAAAAATTATT